TTATTTATTTTGACAGTTGCGAGAAGAGGTAGATCTTGATGAATTTGTATTAAGGACAAAAAGGTGAGTATTTGTTTTTCATCCATGTTTATTCTTCACATGCTAACCTTCTCCACGAGATCCCTAAAGAAAACACCGTCGTAAGGCCGAGCACAAAATAGAACAGAAGGATTTTAGCTGTCACCTAATGAAAATACTCGTGGTTAATCTGTAGCCCGCCACGCAAGGTTCAAATTTAACCCGATGGATGTTGTTCTCCCGGCCCACTAATCCAGCCAGCCAGTCAGCTGCATTATTGATCGATCGATCGATTAGTAAAAAAAAGGCCATGCCAGTACGAAACCAGCCAGGATTGTGACTGATTCCCTGTGCGCGATCGTAATCAAACCGAACCGAATTAGTATCTGGGACGTCGACGGTGCCATGTCCACATGTTGTTAGCTCGCTCGTAATCGTAAACAAGCCCTGCTGACTGCAAGTGTGCATGTCTGGCGTGAGGAGGCTCGTTCCTGCCGAGAAAGGGGGAAACACCTGAGGGGGCGACGGATGCCGATGCCGCCTCTGTTTGTCTTTCTTTCTCTCGCAGGGATCCGAGCTGAGGGGTGAGGGCTTTGCTTTGCTTTGCCTTTGCTGTAGGTTTCTTTCGCTCGCAGACTCTCGGTCTCATTCCCAGTCTCTCTCTCTCTCTCTCTCTCCTAGGAGGGAGATGGATGGTGGTGGGCTAGGCCCCATTGCAACCGTCTCTCTCTGCGAAAGCACAGAGCTGTTGAGGTGAAGGAGAGGCGGTCCCAGTGCGTGCAGTGGATGTCAACCTCAGCCCCCTAGCCAAGGGACCGACCTCACTGCTTATGTCCAGTCTGCGCGATGGCTTGTCTACTAGATACTAGACGTTACCTCGAAGCCACCTCTCCTGTCCGGGACTGTTCACGCCATCTACGTTACCCCATGTATGCTCTCATGGTCTTATTAGCTAGTAGACCGTTGGATTGTCCCAGCTACTCTAACTAAGACACTTTCGTTCCTTTGATGCTCGCATCGCTCATCTCCCGGCCCGTCGACGATCACAACGGTGGGCGGCGTCGGTGTGACGGCGGCCGTACGTACGCGTGCACGATATATATAGATGTGCGTACGTCGTCGGTGGAGCCGGGGGCGCCACTTCTGTCGGGGCAGATGCTCAGGACACGCGCTAGAGTACAAGCGCGCTAATCACCTACTAGCGTCTACTAGTTTAATTTTAATGGGTACTACTTGTATACGTAGATCACTTTTTTTATCGATATATACGTACTACTCGTATGTAGTATCAGCATTGGGAGGGAGGCTGGGAGCGGTAGCAGAGAGAGAAGAAGCGTGAGAGCAACTTGCTGACAATAATGGAGGTGGTTATCTACATTCGTAGTAAAACGTTCTGTTCGTTTGATTTATAAATCGTATTTTTTTAACAATAAATAGTATTATTTTCTTAAAACAAACTAGCTAACAATATTTTCGGTCAGAACTTATCAGCCAAACCCATAACACCATATCCTGGCTGGCTTCGTACTCACATGGCCTTTTTCTCCCCACCGCCTGACCTGCTTTGGCCTACTAGTAGATCCTAAGAACACACCTAAAAACAGGGGAGGCTGGAGGAATGGAACGCCGCTTTGATCTTTCAAATCGTTGCTGCACATATTTTCTAGTTGGGCCTTGTTTAGATGACGTCAAAATTCCAAGTTTTTTCATTCTCTTCATCACATTAATTTTTAGACGCATACATAGAGCATTAAATGTAGGTAAAAAAAGTAACTAATTATACAGTTTGGTTGTAAATCACGAGACGAATCTTTTGAACCTAGTTAGTTCATGATCGACAAAGTTTGTTAAATACAAATGAAACGTGCTACAGTGTCCGGATTACAAAAATTTGCAATCTAAACATGGCCTTGCTTCGCATGCACTACTGACTGTGGGTAGGGTAGGTCTCTTTCTTTCATGCACAGGGATTGATGAGATGATGTAGATGTACACACTCCCTCCCTCCCTGGCCTGCTTCTCTATGTCCACACTCGCAGGGTCGGTCCATCCAATACAATACTCACTCACTCGATTATTTGCTGGTGGCAGGGGTGGAAAAGGCAAGGCGAGCAAACAAGGGCATGCTTGATTGTGCAATGCCGGATCATTAGTCCAAGATGAGGAAAAAAGTGGCTCCTAAGTAGGGCCCACCCAACAAGGAGAGAGATACCAAGCGAGCGAGCGAGCAAAGCTTTATCTGCCACAGTGTCTCCAACAACCGCGATCTAAAATACAAGACTCATTCGTCCTTTAAATAGCGCTAAAGAAAAATAGTTCAATACCCATTTTTAGTCTTCTCCAACAACAAGACTCAAAAGACAACTCTTTCTACAAATAGGTCTTCAGGAGAGATGATACTCAGATTTAGGTTATCAGCATGTTCGTTTCGTCGTAAACGATCGTGAATTATTTACTGCTGGCTAGTTTGGTATAAGAGAAAAAATACTGTTCTATCTTATAATCCACGATCATATACGAGCAAGCGGACAAGCTGTATGTCTCTCCCAACATCTAAAATGGGTCTTCAATATAGACAGCCTGACTACAGTCTCAAGGACTGGAGGACTCCCAAAGCATCATATTCTCAACTACTCCTACACAACATGTGTACAAAATATAGTACACCAAGTTGCAAAAAGCTACCCGGGAAAAAGGCACAATACACCTATTCCTGCAGCAGTCGGTCGTACCGCTGCTACCACTTTAACAACTCCTCTCATCAGAGTCTCCTCCTACACTACACACACATCTCTCTCCAGCAAGCCAAGCAGTGCCGGCCGGCCGGCTGACTGACACTGGAGCGAAAAGAAAGAAAAAACAGCAAGGACGAGACGCCATGCACACACACAAGCCGCAGCAGGAGCAGCAGCAGTCAGCACGACCGCTTTACTGACCACCGGCGGACGGACGCATTACCTTACCCCGAATGAATAATTACCCCCCTACGACGCCGCCTAATAAAGTTGAAATGGTAATGATCGGTCAGGTAAACATGTGCTCGGACAGAGATTCAGGATCATCAAATGATACGGGCCACGCCCCATGTGTCTTACCCCATGTACTACAACAGCCTGTACACCGCAGGCTTTTTCGCTCATCCTTCAGTCCTCCCTCCCTAATGGACCTTGTCCTTGTTGCCCGTCGTCGTTTGAATGGATTTGACGCCTTTCCTTTCCTTTAGGCAGCAGCTTACCATCCATGAGCACTCGAGAGCAGGTTTGTTTGCTACTCCATGCAGAGCAAGAGAAGCCGCTGCCCGTCCTGGAGGTACTCCGGACGTACTCGTACGTGAGAAGGCAATAGCAATAGCAATAGCAATAGCAATAGCAATACGATGGTAGTACACGCCTGCAAAATGAAGAAAAAGCGAATGATTGTCAAAGACTGGCCCTGATTGTGACGGGTGGCATGGGGATGGGGGAAGAAAGGAAGCCTACCATGGCGGATTGGCATGCCATGTCTGCGCCTCCGACCACGGCTTTTTGCCTTCCGGCCTCCGTCCGGTGCAATCATGGGCGGTGCAGCGACGCCGCGCAGAGATGGACGCAGAAGAGGTGACGGCGAGGACGACGGCGATCATCATCAACCCACATGATGGCGTCCTTGCCAAGAAGCCAGCAGTACCCGTGCCGCTCGGCGGCCTCAGCCTACCCTCCCTTGTGAAAACAGTAAAGGCATGTTTAGATGCGAAAATTTTTGGCTTGTAGTACTTTCGTTTGTATTTGGTAAAAATTATTCAATTATAGATTATTTAGGCTTAAAAGATTCGTCTCGCCAATTACGGACAAACTGTGCAATTAGTTATTCTTTTTACCTACATTTAATGCTCCGTGCTTGTGCCGTAAGATTTGATGTGACGGAGAATCTTGAAAATTTTTAGATTTTGAGTGGGATCTAAACATGGCCTAAATGGTGGTATGGGTAGGATCCAGAGAAAGAAGTAACAGGTGAGTGAAAGGTCTATCGTATTCGTAGGGGCATCCTCTCACCTTGATCGCCGGCCGAATTGAAATTGCAGGCCGTATTGAAATTGCAGGCCGTATCGTATCCTACCTCAAAAGTGACGAACCTATTCATATGTAGTACGTACGTATGGATTAAGTCGAGCAGAAAGATAAGAACCTTGGACTCGGAGAGTAAAAAAACACCGCCTTCTTGGCCAGCGCAGTTGCAATTGCAAGCTACGAGGTCAGGCCAGCCATTGATTTCACATATGTACTCGGCCAAGCTCCAATGATGCAAGATAGTTTTAAAGAGAAAACGTAAGTTCGTTTCACAGAGATAATGCAAGTACTTCGAAAATAAAATACCATTAACGTTCAGAAAGCAATTTCTATCAAGTATTATGAGTCCCTACTATATTTATCCTGGTAACAAAAATAAAATTATGCTTTTATTCTTACTAGTATACTGATGACAAGAGCAATGTACTCCTAGCAACGTGTCCAGAAACACAAAGAAATTGACAGCACATAGTGTGTGGCAAACCAAAATGAGTTAGCATTCACAGCTGCATATATCATCAACATTATTTGCATATAAGAACCAAAATGGTTATATATTCTTTCTCATTCCGTAGCATCACCGATTACAAACATATCGACAAGAAACACTTGAGTTACTCTCTGCAACCTCAATGGCCCCATAGTATAGTAGAATCATATATGGCAAGGCAAAATACAGTCATTCGCTAACCAAACTTGATGATCAAGGATAATGCATATCTCCTCCATCTCATGCCCAACTCCCCACCCCACCAAAATCTAGAGTGAGGAAGCAATAATTAACAATACGGGCAAAATGAAGAGATTCTAGAAGCCAAGCAAAAAGAGTAGGGGTGGCAAAAAATTCTAACAATTCCTAGGGATCAAATTCTACAAAATGCTAAATGGGAAAAAGGAATAAGAAACAATTAAACAGGGATGTTTGTTACACTGAGATTATGATTCCACATTGCCTGGTAAATTCGCCACATCATCATCCCCTTTAGCGAGTAACTCTGCATCCTTGTCTTCATCGCTAGAGAAGTCCCTCCTCTCTAGCTTCGAGTTTGCAGCAACAAAAACCAACCTGTGTGCTCTGTCGTTTCCACTTGCCAAGCTCCCTGGTGCAGAGAGCCAGCGCACCATTGACGGTGTGCATCTGAAACCCCTAGAGGTTGCATGGAGGAAGATGAGCCGCACAGCTACCTTGCCGAGCGACTTGAGCTCACTCAGACATGTCTCCCAAACAAGCCTGCTGCTCTGCTTATTCGCGACCTTCATCCTCCCTGTGGAGGGGTCAGGCTGCCTCACCTGCACAGCTTGTGCATACAACAGGTCCAACCCATCTGACCGCCATTTCATCAGCTCCATCAGAACTAGGTGCGCCTCTTCCCGGGACACCATTCTAGTGATCAGCCTGTCGACATCTTTCTCCTGATCAGGCGTCAAGCACTTGAATGGAGGGAGGTAACGCCCACTAGCATCCTTGACAAGGTAGAGAGGATCCAAAATGAAGGCTGCCGACCAGGCTGGGTGGTAGTTTTTCTGAACCTCTTCTCAAGAACATTCAGAACAGTGCCTTCATCAATGTTGAACTTCTCACACCAATCTCTAACCTTGCTACGCAATTCCTCCCATAGTGGCAGGCACTGCCCAACAAGAGGCCGATCAGCCTCCATCTCCTTCACCATATCCATTATCAGCTTCACGAGCGAATGCACGGCATCAACCTCTATCCAGAAAGCCTCACTGTGCACCATCTCCCCAATCTCCCGGGCAACTGAGTCATCGATGCACACGAGCTTGTACGAGTCCTCTTGCACAGCACGATGGAGAGGGTGTGCAGAGTTCAGAATGTCCGCCAGCATCTCAAAGGCCGCACGGCAGTTGCTGCCATTGCCGTTAAACGGCACATGTGCGACTCGAAGGAGCGAGGCATGACCGAGCTCTTGGATTTGATGCTTGTGCAGCAAAGACCGCGCCGTCTGTTTGGCATTGAAGTAGGCAGCAAGCTTGGCAGACTTGGCTGTGGCAGAGCGGAAAAGCGACAGCTCCTTGCGAAGTCCCGCACCAAACGGGTGAAGCTATGGATTTGGCAGCATAGGTTCACCATCCAGTAGTTCTTGTTCTCAAGATCACGCAGCGCCTTTGATTTGAAGCGGTCAGAAACTATGCCTGCGCAACGGTGGAGGTCGTTGGAGGAACCTGAGGCTGAGACGGAAGCCACGGCGTCGAGCATCAGCCCCTCGGCGTAGTCTGACGGCGCCATGGCGGGTACCGGCACAGCGCGGTGGAACACGGACGTGCCATTTGGGAGGTTGACAGAGAGTGACCACCTTCTCCCGCCAGCCGTCGGCGGCAAGCTGGAAGAAGAGCGCGTCCCGAACCCGCGCGGTGGCGTCGGCGTGCGCCTCGGCGAAGCGGGCGTCGAGACGTGGGCCAGCAAGGTCGGCGCGCTGCAGGTCCGGTAGCCCCACGTGGCGGAGGAAGGCCCGGAGCTTGGGATGGCTAGCGGCGGAGAGGATACGCCAGGCGATGACTCCAGAAACCAGTCGGCCAGCAAGGCGAGCGCCGCGTCAGCCTGGGGCTTGGGCATCATGGCGACCGGCGATGCCTTGGGTGACTTAAGGCGCTTGACGCTGTCCTCGAGCCTGGCGAGAGCGCCCAAGTCGTCTTTGCCGCCGGAGAGCACGAGTGCCGACGACTGGTGTGGCGGAGGGGGCGGCGGCAGCGCGGGCAACGCCGGAGAATAGACCGAGGACGGGTCAACAACGACGAGGTGGTGATGGTGGGACACGGGGTCCGCTGGCGTGTACGCGGGGGGCATGGAGTGGCGCTTGCGGCTGCCGGATTGTTGTTGACATTGTTGTTGTTGGTGGTGGTGGTGGTGGTGCGGATTGGAGTGGTGGTGCTGGTGGTGGCGCGGCGAGGAGGGCGCAATGGAGGAGATGGGGACAGGGGACGAGGCGGTGGAGTTGGACGGCAGCGCGAGCTGCTGCTGGTGCGTGGACGTCGGCGACGGCTGCGAGCCCGAGGTGCCGGCTGGTCCCGGCGGCGGGGCAGCGAAGTTGGGGCAGGTGCCACGCTTGAGGTGCTCGGAGGCGGTCCGTGACGGGTTGGAGGCGGAGAAGATGGCGGAGCAGAGTGCGCAGCGCAGCTTGACGGCCTTGGGCGGCATGCCGGTGTCGGCGGGCGGGACGAGAACGGGCTCGAGGTGCGCCCAGTACCAGGCGCCCTTGCCCTTGACCGCCTTGGCCCGCACAGTGAGGAGGGCCTCGTAGCGCTTCTGCGCGGCGCGCGCGGCGGCCTCCTCGCCGCCCATTGCGGGCGCCGTGGCCGCCACCGAAGCGGCTGCCGCATCCTCCTCCTTGGCCGTTGCCGTGGACATGGCCGCCGGCGGACCGATCGCCTCGCCGCCCAGCGAACAAGGGGCCGACGAACCGACCGACCAACCAACCAACGATCGGCGAACCGATCGCGCCGGGCGGTACGGAGAAAAGAAAGGGAACCACCCCCCCTCTTCCTTTCCGGTCACCAACCCGCCAATCGAATCCCGCGGTGGCGGTGGCGGTGGCGGCGGCGGCGGCGGCGGCGGCGTGGAATTCCCCGCGGTGCGCGGCTAATACGGGAGTCGGCACCCGGCGGCGCGCGCGGACGGCGATCGGAGAGGCGCATTGGGCGGCGGCGGCCGCGGTGGGCCGTCCATGGGCGCGCGGGGGCCGGGGGTGGGTGGGGTATTTCGTGGAGGTTTTGGGGGGTTTAGAAAGGAGGAGGATTTGGGATGCGGGGAGGAGAAAACAATGCAATGCGATGCCGGGGCGAGGTAGAGAGAGAGAGAGGAGAGAGACAGAAGAAAAAGGGATTGATAGGGACAAAAGGAGGAGGACGAGACGGATGAATTGAGAAGAGTCTCCCCTCGCCTGTCCACACACACTAGTATATATGAATACGATATTTTTCTTTTTCAGATGTTCTTCTTCTTTTATATATATATATATATATATTGTTGGTATATAGTCAGTCTGGCTTCCTCTGCATACACAATACGTCACTACAGCACTTACCAAAAATGTTAGGGAGAGGAAAGCAGTTAATATGTCGTGAGGACGAGCTTGTCTACTATATGACCATGTGTTTTATATAGTTTCAACACATAAATTTTTTTCACCGTAGAATTAAGATGCAACAGCCTCCATCCTTCTTCAGCCTCCATCCTTCTTCTACCTCCAGACAATCACAAGATCACAAGATTACAGATCCACAGATCACAAGAAACAAATTTTTTTAATCGAAGGACAAATCACAGATTGTAGAGGAGGAGGAGAGACCTACCTAGAGGCACGGTGCGGGCGCAGCTTCGTCCGAGATGCAACCAGCGGCACGGTGCGGGCGGGGACCAGGGTCAGGGCGTGACAGCAACTCGATCGCTTTGCTTGGACATAGCGATGGAGCGGGTTGGATCGAAGGACTTGTGCGTGTGTTGCGTGGCGTCAGCAGAACGGAGGGATGGAGAGAGAAAAATTCATATATTTTTTTTCTAAAACACGTGTGTTGTATAACATTTCTGTATATATAAGTAGAAAGCCCCCAAAGATCTCCTTGGCCACTCACTGGTACAAATTAGCGTAGAGGATTGTCAGGGTGGGGAGCAAGAGTAGCGAGAGAGATTTGGGGCCCACTCACTGGCTTTGTTTACTGCTGCTGCAGATGCTGGTAGCGGTAGGCTGACGAAGAGGATGGATGGGTAGTCCAATTGAGTACGACGGTGGGACGGGGATGGAGATGGGAAGAAGTGGAGAGGTTAAGCTTTGGGGATTTTAAGGGGTGGGAGATGATGGAAGCGTCTTTCTTCATCGAGACCAGTCTCCGGGGCAGTGTTGACCGGGGGTGCCCACCAGACCACCACGCGCCAGTCCATCACCAGGCACCACGCCCCTTCCCACCGCAACAGTTCGTGTCGCCATAGGAACTGTGTCACTGAATTTGTAAAAAAAATATTAGCAACATTTGTTTCTACAAATAAATTTATTATAAAAATAGATTCAAAAAATTATTTAATGAAACTAATTATATACTATAAATATCAATATTTTATTTTATATATTTAGTCAAACTTAAATATGTTTGATTTCTTTGAAAGTGAGAATGACAGATAAAAAGGAACAAAATAAGTACCTCTTGAAAACACTGCCCTCTTGTTGTTAATATGGTTCATCCTAAAAAGAATATTGTTATATAAGGTTTATGTTGGTTAAAGTTTTTTTAAGTTTGATTAAATTTGTAGAAAATGTCGCTAATATTTATATCTTTAAATAAATTTATTAAAAAAGATATTCAATAATTCATTTAATTATATACTAATTATACATCATAAATTAAATATTTTCTTATATATATTTAGTTAAAGTTGAAAAGGTAGAATAACTTTCTTTATATATATGGAAGGAGTACGTGTAAGACCTACTCCCTCCGTTACAAAATTATGGTCGTACTAAAAGTCAGCCCTCAAACCAACGATAATGCCAAAAAACATGTATAACCTTATATTCTCTATCCTTTCTTCTCTCGTTCCCCATCATTCACCTCATCCAACCCATTCGTACCAAGACCCACGCCCACCACGTCGAGACTCGACACCGGCGCTCGCCTCGCGCCCTTGCCAAGACCCACATTGGTGGAGAAGAGGGGCAGTGCTGGATCTCAGCCGCCCCCAGCATGGATCTCGGTTGCACCGGCCTTTGCAAGCCGGCCGAGAAGAAGAGGAGGATGGGCGCGACCTCTGCACTGGTGAAGGAGAAGAGGGGCCCGTGCACCAGCCTCCGTGCCTGCGGAGGAGAAGATTGGGGTTGCCAGTGGTGTGGTGGTCGATGGGTGGTGACGAGCAGTGGGTGGATACTGGAGAGGAAGACGAGACGACATCCACACGAGATCGTAGGAGGCAGGTAAGGAACGACGAGGCAGGGAAGAGAGTGTAGGCATGCTGCTTCGATCCAGGGTAATACAACTACAACAACACTTTCTTTAGGACAGACATCAAAAGCTAGAGCAGACTCTCTTTTAGGGCACAGAGGGAGTATATGCAAAATAATATACTACAGAGAGGAAGGGCATTGCTCTGTAGCTGTAGGAGTACAAGCTGTGCTTTGGCTGCACGGTATGATAATGGCCCAGTAGAATAGATATGTTTCAAATCAGCCCTCTGATTCAGCAAGGGCGTAGAGCGATTTAGCCATGGATGGGACACTCGGATAGCCGGTCTCCCTCTTTCGGCATGTTCGCTGGTTGGTTTCTAGACTGGTTTAGGCTGGCTGATGCTGATTTATTATGAGAGAAAAATACTATTGACTAACTGGTTTAGGCTGGTCAACGAACGAACAGGCTGTTTTTTTTGTTTTCCGGATACAGATTTTCCCCTCTGTCTCTCCTTTTCTTCTGCGTTTTTCTCTTTTCCTTCGTGGCACGCATGCCGGTCCGGTGGTCTACCAGGACGTATGAATGTATGATATGGCATGAGGCCCATTCGCCCATTGGACAGAGGACACGCATAATGGCCAGGGGAGGGGCAGGGTCTAGCGCCTCCTTCCGCTACTGTGCGTATCGCTCCAGATTAAGGGCGCGTTGAGTTCCAAAAAATTTTGGTTTTTTTTTTTTTCATCACATCGAATTTTTGGACGTATATATGGAGCATTAAATATAGACGAAAAAAAACTAATTACACAGTTGGGTGAGAAATCGCAAGATAAAATTTTCGAACCTAATTAGTCCATAATTATATACTAATTACTAAATACAAACGAAAGTGTTACAATAGCCAAACCCAAAATTTTTTACGAACTAAACGTGCTAAGAGCGTGCCCAACATAGACGGGTACCGATTCTAGGACGGGGTATGACCTCTCCTGCAATCGCTGAGTTGTACACGTATTGCCACCTACCTGGAAAAAGTTATTCACATTGATGGGAAACGTTTGAAAAAGCTAGCCACGTTTGTGTTGCGTTTAATTCGTGAAATGAAAAAAAATTAGATGTCACATCAAATGTTTCGGGATGTCGAAAGGGGTTTTTGATACTAATAAAAAAATTAATTATATAGCTCGTCTGGAAATTGCGAGACGAATTTATTAAGCCTAATTAATCCATCGTTAGCGCATGTTAATTATTATAGCATTTATGGCTAATCATGGGCTAATTAGTCTTAAAACATTCGTCTTGCGATTTTCAATCAAACTGTGTAATTATTTTTTTCGTCTATATTTAATACTCCATACATATACCGCAAGATTTGATATGATAATTTCGAGTGAAAATTTTTGGGAACTAAACCAGGCCTGAATTTTCAGGATTTGTTTATAAGGACAGACAACAAGGCGTACATGGATTATTTACGGGTTCCACCTTCAAACCGTGCACAATCTTTATTGCCGCTGCTTTTCCTAATGCACTCTAACTTCTTACCACCCTCCTCCTGGCAGGGTCGTTCAAGCCGCCTTAGACTTCATCATTGTACACGCACTATATAGTGTACTATAGCAACAGTAACACTCTTCATTTTGTTAGAGTATTCATGTGAGGCTTAGTTTATTGCTACAATACCTCACCAGTGTAGCTACATTAGCTGCTGAGTAGAAACTAAAGTCAGAAATCAGAAGAAGACATATTAAAAAGGGTTAATTTAAACCACGCCATTATAAATATATCAAGATTTGAAAATAAAAGATTTTTCAAACCATGATATTTTATGAGAGAATTACCGGCAAGGCCATGTGAAACTCACTTATCCTTCTGTGACCCTGAAAAGTTCAAAATTCCTTATATAACCCTGTGTTCGAATTTTTGTGCCCTATACCACACTACTGTCACTTTTGGAGGCTAACACCATTTAGTGTCATGTGAAATGACCAGAATAGCCCTGTTATAGAAAATGCACCTATTCCTTATATGACACTGTTCCATGTGACGTTAGAAAATATGTGTTAACACTGGATTTTGGTCAATTCTGGAAGATGACAGGTGGACCCACATGCAGGAAGAAGAGTGTTCGGCAAACAACGCAAGCGGTCGGCTAAATGCTTGTGCGGTCGGTTATTCTGGAAGGCGGTAACTCCATTCGGGAAAGCAGAAGATGGCAAGCAAAGCCGATCGAAAAGATGAAAATTGTAATAATAAAGGACTCTGAGAGTTTGGGGCAAGGAATCGTAGTTTCCAAGTTTATTTAAGAGTTCCTTTGTAAATCGTAGTCTTTTAGGACTCGTGTTTCGTCTAGGGTATAAATATTGACCCTCGACCATTGTAATAGGCGTTCACAACCAAATCAATACAACCGCCCCGTGCCAACTTTCGAGTCCTTTTGTCGTGTCGTCGAAGTTCTTGAGAGGGAGTCATCGATCC